TAACTAAATAACTAAATAACTGTAAATAACGAAATTACTAAATAACTAAATTACTAAATAACTAATAACTAAATTACTAAATAAAAATAACAAAATAACTGTAAATAACTAAATTACTAAATAACTAAATTACTAAATAACTAAATAACTAAATTACTAAATAACTAAATTACTAAATTACTAAATTACTAAATAACTAAATTACTAAATTACTAAATAACTAAATAACAAAATAACTGTAAATAACTAAATTACTAAATAACTAAATTACTAAATAACTAAATTACTAAATAACTAAATAACTAAATAACTAAATAACTAAATTACTAAATAACTAAATTACTAAATAACTAAATAACTAAATAACAAAATAACTGTAAATAACTAAATTACTAAATAACTAAATTACTAAATTACTAAATAACTAAATAACTAAATAACTAAATTACTAAATAACTAAATAACTAAATTACTAAATAACTAAATAACAAAATAACTGTAAATAACTAAATTACTAAATAACTAAATTACTAAATTACTAAATAACTAAATAACTACAGCTGTTTGTTAGTTTGAGGCAGTGGTGATGCAAAAGCAACCGTATCCATAGCAACAGAGACCGGTGCGATGTCACGGCTTTGCCGTAACGTCCCTGACGTTTGTCCGTAACGTCCCTGACGTTTGTCCGTAACGTCCCTGACCTTTGTCCGTAACGTCCCTGACGTTTGTCCCTGCAGCTGCTGATGGGCTCTGCCATCCTCATCCCTCTGGTCTACTACATGAAGCGACACCGATGGACGGTGCTGAAGAGCAGGAAGATCGCCTACAGGCCTCCAAAGTAACGGACAACAAGCGCACCCCGACCCAGGGCTGAACATGAGAATGGTGCGTTCAAAAGCCCCACAGAGCTTATTGCCCTCTAACTCTGCCCCCTAGGGGGCAACTGATAACACACAGCATGTTTTCAGACGAATATACGATGATTTCAGTCAAAAATCCCTTTTTTTTTCAAGCAGTTGTTATTGAAAACCTGTGATAGTTTTCGTCTGAGTGTTCTTGAACGCATCCTGCTCAGAGTGTATTGACCTCCATCAGCAGCGGCGGCTACATGCTGTCTGAGTTTCATTATCTCTGCAAGATACTCCATGCTGACGCTCGTCTCTGGGTCGGCCTCAGGCTTCTCAACGTTCTGCGTTTGTAAATTAATTGTTTGTCTTCAGAAAGTCTGACATAAACTGTTTTACTGTACAAAATAAATTCTTCTAAACGAATCTGTCTGGTTGGATGTTTCTGTTCTGCAACAGGTCTGGTGCAGCTGATGGCTTAATCCAACCCTGGATTATAAATCCAGAGAGGTGGGCGTGGCCTCTCAGCGGGGGGCGTGGCTACGTACTGAGGGGCGTGAAGAACTGGTTCCTAAAAACTACTGGAGATGGCGCTGCTGCGCATAACAAACCTGAATGGCCGGCCTGGCGTCGGCGCCGCCCGCATTCGCCTCATATTGAATCAGAACGTTGCTCCAGCTGGTTCTGGGTCACTTTATGCAGTCAAATGTAAAAGTGAAATCATGGCATTAGCATCAGTAACAAGCTGTGAAGTCTCCTGTTCCCAGCTCCTCACGTTCCTCTGAATCCACTCGGCCCAGTTCAGCAGTGGCTCTCTGCTACTGGGAAAGCAACCTGGAAAATGCTGAATGGTGTCCACTGCAGCTGGACCACGTCCTGCAGGTCAGACCCAGAGAAACATTTTGCTGACCTCTGACTTCAGGAGGAGAAACGTCCCGTAATTTACTCCATTTATCAACACAATCTTTAAATTATTGCAATACTTCATACCAAGCATCTTGTGTTGGAAAACAGCTGTTCCTGTAAAGGTTTCCGTTTTTCTGGCCTGTTTCTGACCTGCGAATGAAAAGCTGTTGTTTCAATTCAATCTTCTTCCTTTCACACTTTGAGAAGAGCAGAGCAAGTAGTTCTCTCTTATATTCAGTATGAATTATTTATCATTTGTGGGGATTAAATTATAAGAATTTCTCCAAACTATTACTGCTTTAAATCAGAAAGAATTTCCCCCCATCATTCATTTCTATGGATTCATGTCCAGAATAACGAGGATTTGAAACATGGTGCAATTCAAGCCTAATGTTTACAGAAAACACTTATTAATTGGAACTCATTATTTTAACCCTAATTTTTGATTATAATTTAAGCACAACTCAAAAACAAAGTAGCTACTTATTTTTTCTCTTGCAGAAGAAATGAAAGTTGTATGTTTTATTGCACCTCAGCGAAGCGACAGCCGGATCTCCCTGCTGCGCCGCATTGATGCTTTAATTCAAGCTAAAGGAGCCCAAAGCCTCCAGCATTTTTATTGATCATATTCTGATCTTCTGCCACTGAATAAATATTTAAAGTGATCCTGTGTGTAAGAAACTAGTTCATGCCTTTGTTTTTAGCAGACTTGATTATTGCAATGCATTTCTTACTGGATTACCAAAAAAAGCATTAAGACAGCTCCAGCTCCTCCAGAGTGCTGCTGCAAGAGTCCTTACTAACACAAAGAGAGATCAGCACATCAGTCCAGTTCTCAGATCTCTGCACTGGCTGCCTGTTGCTCAAAGAATTGACTTTAAAATGTCCTTAATAGTTTATAAAGCACTTCAGAATAGAAATCCAAACTACATTTCCGGTCTTCTGCAACCCTACGTACCACTCAGACCATTAAGATCATCAGAATCAAACCTATAAACTATACCGAGAGTCAGAAGTAAGACGGAGAAGCAGCTTTTAGTTTTTATGCTCCAACACTATGGAATAAACTTCCTGCTCATTGTAAGTCTGCGTCTACCTTTAATTTATTTAAAACAAGGTTAAAAACCTTCTTATTTGAAGTCGTCTATTCTTAAATTTTTAATCCCACTCATTTATTATAATTACAATTTTAATGTTTACTTTGTCTATATTTTTTTTCTTTATTTTTCTTCTAACAGTATGTATTCTTTATTTTTTGGGTGGGCGTGTCAAGGTGGGCGTGTCGCGGAGGGCGTGTCGAGGTGGGCGTGTCGCGGTGGGCGTGTCGCGGTGGGCGTGTCGAGGTGGGCGTGTCGCGGTGGGCGTGTCGCGGAGGGCGTGTCGAGGTGGGCGTGTCAAGGTGGGCGTGTTGCGGTGGGCGTGTCGCGGTGGGCGTGTCGCGGTGGGCGTGTCAAGGTGGGCGTGTTGCGGTGGGCGTGTCGCGGTAAGCATGTCTCGTAGGGCGTTGGCTGTTACTGAGGTATGAATGGGAGCCATACTGGCGCATGGCTTGGTATGTAGAAGGAAACAGGTGCGCTGGTGGTGCGCTGGTGGTGGTCATCATTTCTCTTGACTGTGTTGTAATGTTGCTTATTGTTGGCACCATTTTTTGGTTTAGCCTGGTCAGCAGGTGTCAGTCCTGTAACGTCTGAAGTTATGGCAGTAAAGTGGAATAAATCGATGCTTGCAGCAACAAAGAAGCGGCCTGGAGTGTTGAAGCGTCTGACAGTTCGAAATTCACCAAGTGACCCCATTGTGGCGCTCTACACCACCGGTAGTCTGCTAAACAATTAGGCATCATGGAGGAGCACTCAGCTTCCGGAACCCAGAGAGTCTGGGCCAACGGAACCAAGAGACGGCCTAGTCAAAGCCCTGCAGAACCTCCCACCTGAACAAGGAGTCTAGATCCCTCTTGAAAATGAGATCCAGATGTCAACGGGGTTTACCTGGTGATGGAGACAAAGTCATCCACAGCAGCTGGGCAACCATGAGGGAACCTGACAAGTTGCCCTGTCCATGAGAAAGACGGCCATTGTTAAAGCAAACCATCAAGAGTCTGGTTAGCCGTTAGCCACTAGCAGCCATGTCGGACTCGGTGTTCGTTCAGACCAGAACTAAACTGAATTTTACTTTGTGTTCCAAATTATGATGGTGTGATATTTCCTCAGATTGTCCAAGCAAATGATGGTAAATATAATTTTATTAGAGAATAAATACATGTTACTGAACAAACCTCCCAATGACAGCAGGATCTTTTTCTTTGTTCCAACTGATTATTTACAGCAAATTTGTAACTTTGTGGCTTATGAAGAATTATAAATGCTGATTCTTTGAATGCAGTAGTGGTCTGTACTAAAATCAAAAGCTATTTATTTATAGACTCAACATTTATAAACTCAACTCTGATCATCATTTTCCTCATCAGGTGACGCTCCGCTCCGACATTTTCATCTCAATTACTGCCTTTGTTAATAATCTCCTGAGCAGGAACTGCTAGTTATTTATAACCAAGCCAGACTTCGTTGTTGAATGTCAGAGCGATGGATGGACTTTCCAGTGAGTTACCTGAAAGCCAGCAGATTTTAATTTACTTCCACATATCTTACTGGTGATGAGAAGCGATACTGGGAAGGCCGCGCCTCCAAACAGCCCCAGCTGCTCCAACCGGTTCTGTCTTCACTCATCAGTCCTTCATCTTCAGCGTCTTCCAGTGTTCAGATGACACTGAGAGAAAACAGAAGGAACTCATGTTTTTAATTATACTTTCTTTCTATATAACAATTGATTTGCACTTTTTGGACTTTCACATAAAATTCCAGTGAAGAATATTGATGTTTGTGATTGTAAAGAGACGATACATGGAAAATGTCAAGGGTGTGAATACTTTTACACGCCACTTACAGCCAGTGGAAATATCCTTATGAATATTGAACAACTGCTTAGTGATAATTAGTTCCCACATGTTCCTGGAAAGGTCCCTCAAATTAGATTCGTCTTCGGGCCGGACCGGCTTGGATCAGATCGGGCCGGACCGGCTCGGATCGGCTCCGGTCGGGCCGGACCGGCTCTGACACTAAAAATAGAGGAAAGGTTTTCTGTGGAAGACTCTTCATTAGATGCCTTCCATGCTGTCAGAACATCACTTCATGATTCACTTCAAATAAAAAAACTTTTTCACAAATGTTTATTTTATCAACAACTTCAATCTATACAGTAAAAATAATGTCATGAGAAAATAAAAGCAATTCTTCAGAATAAAGTCAGAGAGTTGTATCCTTTCTGTTCCTCTGTTTTGTATCATTGCACTGATTCAACTCAACCTCAGAGACACATTTTCAGGGATGAGCTTCAACGGGGACGCATGTGCAGAGTTAAAGTAAGGAAACAGTTTCTCGGTGAAGGAATAAGTGAAGGTGTGAATGACAGTGTTGGTGTTGAGGTCGAGGAACACCAGCTTCCCCCGGTTCCAGTCCAGAATGGTTTTAATCCTGCTGAGCCGTCCGCTCACCGGCAGAACCGTGGACGGTTCCGACAGGGCCCGGGCCACGTACTGACCGCCAATGCAGCCGATTCTCCACAGACGAGTCGGATGGTTTCCTTTCCTCTGGACGCTTTGGGAGGCGACTCCCACAAACCAGTCCGTGTTGTCTCCAACCTCAACGTTCCAGCTGTAGGTTCCCGTCATGAAGCCCTCCGAGCCCAACACGATGCGGAAGAAGTCAAACCTCTCCGGGTTGTCAGGAATGTTCTGCTTCTGGCCGCATCTCACGCTGGTCAGGTCTTCAGACAGGATGAGCTCAAAGTTCGCGCTGTTCGGATCCAGAACCACAGGACTGTAGGACACCAGATGCTTCATCTTGTTCCAGATGTTGAAGCTCAGGTTGCCCAGGTGTTTGGCCACATCTATCAGGGCTCCAGAGACAGGCTGAGGATTCTCCAGCAGGAGGCGCTGTTGGATGGTTTCTGCAGCAGTCCTAAAGCTCTGCAGCATCACGGCGTCCTCAGCCTTTATCAGTCCCTCTGTGTCTTTTATTGTCTGTGAAAGAGCAGCAATCTCTCTACTCAGGGCATCGATCTTTAGGCTTAACTTCTGAGTCTTCTTGCTTTCTTCTGTCCTCAGAGCAGCAACCCTGGCATCTTCCTCCTTGTGGAGGAACAGATGAAGCTTCCTGAACTGCTCCTTGACCCGGCCCTCGGTGTGTTGGGCCTGGAGCTTAATGTGTTCAGCTGTCTGATCCAGGTTTCCCTTCTCTTCTTTCAACACCTTCAGTTTGTCCAGCAGTGGCCTCAGGACATTTCTCAGCTCATTTCTCTGACCCTGAGCTACTTCATTGACAGGTTGGAGTTTGTGTCCGTAATGATCATCCGAATGCTGACAGACGACACATAAAAGTTCCTTGTCATCCACACAGAACAGCTTGAATCTCTCACCATGCAGCCGGCAGCAGACCTCTCTAGAGATGCCATTACTTATTGGTGACGTTTTCCTGCAGATTGGACAGGTTGGTATTATTTTGCCCTCCCACCATTTATTCAAACACTCTGCGCAGAAGCTGTGGCTGCAGAGCAAATCAACAGGATCCCTGAAGATGTCCTTACAGATGGGGCAATTCAAGTCCACAGGTTTTGGAGGCATTTCTTCTGGCTTCTTTGGAAACTATTTGCTCAAGCAACCAAAGTTCCTGCTAAAGTCTGATCTCTCAGCAGATCCTCCGAGTTTAATCTGCGTGAGGATTGTTGGATGTTTTGTATGTTCAAGTCAAGGAGGAGGGACTTGTGATTACAGGAAAACCTCAGGCGAGTCATGGATGGGGCGGAGCCTTGACAAGTCATGTCTTATGTAGGTCGATGTTGTCAAACTTTAACTGCTGAGATTATATTTTAAATCTGAAGTTTTTAGAAGTGGTCATTCTTTTGAATATGTTCTATACAACAAGCCCAACTTGTGCTTTATTTCTAGTTTTATGGTTTTGTTTGTTTGACCCAAATGCAAAACCTCCAAGTCATCTCTGCTAGAGATTTATGCTGAGGAAGGAATGGAAATACCTGAGCTCAAACTCTTCAACATTTTTGTAGCAAGTTTTTATTGATTTTAAATACAAACAAGTCAATGTATTATTGCTTTTATATAGGAAAAAACCAAATGTTCTATTACAAACAATAAGCCAAAGGATGTAATTATTTCACTGCAATAATTGACTAAATGTAAATTACTTTCATCCAGTTCATTATTATTATAAAAGGTTCTTTAATTATTTTGCTTCTGTTTTTTGTAGAATCACAGATAAAACAGCTTTCAGTCCAGACAAACATTTGACCAGAACACATTGTTTAGAAGGTATTTGTGACATGCTGAAATGTTGTTCCCACTAGCCATAAATTTATTGCAGGAAATAAAACCCAAAATTACCCATGAGGTGACAGTCAAGAAGAAAGTACCAATAACTTCCTACTGCACACACTTGATGTCAAACATCCAGTTTGGCTCCATATCCCACAACACAATAGACATTAAGGCAGCTGGAGCTTTTCTCATTGTTGATGTTTCATCACAAGACAAACAGAAAAGAAACAAAAGGACAAAACTCCATTCAGCAGCAGATGACCACTCATCCAGCCACTCATCCAGCTGCTCATCCAGCTGTTCATCCAGCTGTTCATCCAGCCGTTCATCCAGCCGTTCATCCAGCCGCTCATCCAGCTGCTCATC